CCAGCATCGGTAACTCGGTTTATTGCAGATGGTTGGCGTTCTGTTCTCCTTTGGCACCTTTGTTCTACAGCTAAAGGAAACTCGCTTACTGTTGCAATAAATGTCCGATCCACCACGACAATGCCAGCCAGGGAAAACCCAGTGGGATTGGAAGAAATCCAATACAATTTGGTAAACATTTTCATAGATCCTTCAGCGCAAGTCTCGTGAGGGGCTAGAATATGGACTTCTCTAGTAACATCCGCCTAGAAATGCGAAAGTTCATAACGGTTGCTGGAAGAATTATAAATGCAGTTACACAAAATAAATTCGCGGTAAACGTCTGCACTGTATCAGGCCTATATACAAATGTCTTAAATTACTATGTAAGCGACAAATCGAAACTGGAGGAATAATACTTATTTATAACGCGGCCATGTACCCGTTCATGAACATAGATCATAGTAAAGGTGACAATCAGGGTCCAAACGATGATCTCCATGGTGTTATAAGCTTGGATTCCCAATAGCAACATAGTGATGACGACCGTTTTATTCGCGTAATTATTTATTGTCCACACGAGCCAGATAACCGACTGAAGGTAGAATAAAAGTACAAATCCACCAGTATGCTGCGATAAGATTTCCACAAGCTTACACACGTCAAAATAATTACGCAGATGTTGTCTCATAACTGCCTTATTTGTGTCCAGATTAAGGTTTTCCTTTATCCGAAACAGCAAGCGACCGATAAAACATGCAAAGATAGCGAGTAACGATGGCAGAAAATAGACCAAGCACGTACGCATGATGGTAAAGGCAGAGTAGATATACCGTACAAACTGCCGTTTAAAAATGGCCAATCCGTATGCGTTTTCCAGAAAAGCTGTTTCCCGTCCGGTGACATACATAAAGTGGAAATTAAACCACACGATATATTGTTGACAAAATGACACCGCCGCTAACAGGATGACGGCCGTCACCGCGCACATCAGACGCCATTCGCGCTGGGTAAAATATTTGGCTTCGTAGTGCCGGATGGATCGCATGGTGGCCTGTGTGGCCATTCTGTCGTCACAAGCAGCGTGGAAAGCAGAGATATCACTTCTCGCTCACGCGCGCAAACCTCGTAGACGAATTCGTCCATGCTTCCGGTTAATCGCTTCGTAAGCGACGGAATAGTGACGGCCGCCACATTCAGAATTTTGATTACTGTAAGTGTAACAATCCAGGAATACGCCAGGATGACCTTCCAGCGATATTTGCCAAGGGCTCGCGGATCGGAATCCACAATGGACATATTCTACAGATTTTAAGAAGTGCTTGCCAAAAGTTCAGGGTAACACTGAGAAACATACTGGTGACCTTTACTGAATGTACCTTATCGTTGTTAAGATGCATGCTTAGCTAGTCTGTGAAATTACGAAAGCTACATATTCATTAAGCTATCGGCGCATACAAGTCACAAGCGTTCAACCGCTATACGCTGTAATCACACCTGTTTGATCAATTGACAAGAAGCCTGATGATTTCTTATTTATTGGGTCAGTTTCTCCCCCTGTCCGGAAAGAATTTTACGGAAATGGGGATCAATACGCTACAGCGTAAAATACAATGGGGAAAACTATTTTAGTCTAACCAGTTCACGGCACTCCTGCCGTCACCCGGCTGGAGTGTGACGTTGCGGCAGTACATACGGTTGAATCCGGCGCGGTACATATGAGCGCCATGCTTAGCCACAACGTCCGCGGCTTCCTGTCTAGTCAGTCCATTTCCCGCCTTTTCAGCGGCTCACTCACTGTACACTACACCGCCGTCTGGTACATGATTTTGGACAATCATCTTTGCTAAAAATTCCTAGGTCAGTTACATCTTTGAGAGAAAAAAAACGATGAAATGAACTCAGACAAACTAACTCGCCATCGACGATTTACAAAATAATGATACTCGTCATCGTGATCTAGATTAACTAATTTTGGTGGTATTTATCGCACTGCGATCACAGTTCGGAGCCGTTTCATAGCGAGTTTCTTTTAGCTGTAGAACAAAGGTCCCATAGGAGAACAGAACGCCAACCATCTGCAATAACATTATCGTAGGTAAGCCGAATTATCGATGCTGGTGCGTTTGTGTCCTGTAGACCAATAGTCTCTGCGGTATATCGAGCTAATACACGGAGACAACTGCTTACTGTTGCAAGAAATGTCCAATCTACCACGACAATGCCAGCCAGGGAAAATCCAGTGGGATTGGATGGGATCCAGTACAATTTGGTAAACATTTTCACAGATCCTTCTGAGCAAGTCTCGGAAGCGGCTAGAATACGGACTTCTTTAGTTACGTTCGCCTAAAACAAAACAGCAAAAATTAACTAGGGTTTGCTGGAAATAATCAGATATGGATAGACGCCAAACAAATTCACAGCAAATGCTAACCGTCTGCCCTCTGCACTGTATCGGGCCGGTCTAAAATGTATTACTGAGTAGACGACATTCAAAACTGGAGATACAGGACTAATTTATTATGCGGCAATGTACCTGTTCATGGACGTTGATCATAGCAAAGGTGACAATCAAGGTCCAAACGATGATCTCCATCGTGTTATAAGCCTGGATTCCCATTGGCAACATAGTGATGATAACTGTATTGTTCGCGTAATTATTTATCGTCCACACGAGCAAGATAACCGAGTGGAGGTAGAATACGAGAACAAATCCACCCATACGTTGCGATAAGGTTTCAACTAGCTCACACACGCAAAAATAATTACGCAGATGTTGGCTCATAACCGCCTGATTCGTGTCCAGGCTAAGGTTTTCCTTCATCCGAAACAGTAAGCGACCGATAAGACAGCAGAAGGTAACCAGTAACGATGTCAGAAAATTCACCAAGCAAGTACGGATTAAGGTAAAAGCGGAGTAGATGTACCGGATGAACTGCCGTTTGAAAATGGCCAATCCGTATGCATTGGCCAGAAATTCCGTTTCCCTTCCGCTGACATACATGAAGTGGAAGCTGAACCACGCGATGTATTGTTGACAAAATGACACCGCCGTTAACAGGATAACGACTGTCACCGCGCACATCAGACGCCATTCGCGTGGGGCAAAATATTCGGCTTCATAGTGTCGGATGGATCGCAGGGTGGCATGGATGTGTGGCCATTCTGCCGTCACAATCAGCGTGGATAACAGAGATATCAGTTCTCTCTGATGTGCGCACACCACGTAGAAAAATTCTTCCATGCTGCCGGTTAATCGCTTCGTAACCGACGGAATAGTAACAGCCGCGAAATCCAGGATTTTTATTACGGTGAGAGTGATAATCCAGGAATGCGCAATGATGACATTCCAGCGATATTTGCCATGGGCTCGTGGATCGGTGGTCCACAATGGACATATTCCACAGATTTTAAGAAGTGCTTGCCAAAAGTTTAGGGAAACACTGAGAAACTTACTGGCGACCTTTGCGGGATGTACCTTACCGTCATTAAGATCCATGCTTAACTAGCCTGTATAAATACGAAAGCGACACAGCTGTTGGCACAGACAGACGTCCAACCGCGTTTCACTGTAACCGTTAGTCCGTCACCTGCTTGACTATACACGGGGCCTTGTGTGATTCCCAGTTTGTGCAGCACTATTGTAAGGGGAATGAAAGTGTTCGGTGGCAAGTCTCCTTTACCTTGGTTTCTGAAAATGACAAAATGTGTATTGATAGTTTTGGCTTTGGAGAACACAACTGAATTCATTAGGGAAACAACTGTAAAGCTTAGTCAGCTGATCAGTTTCAAAATTCCATAGAAGTATTCTCAGAATGTTCGAACAGACAACTACTCTGTACAGGTGCCTTTAGCTTATGGCAGCGAAGCTTATGAAAACTTAGGGTACCCTTAGCTTATGGCGTAATCCTTGCCAAATCAGGAGCTTGTTTAATCGTAGTAACCCGTAACTCACATTTTGACAAATTAAAATATCCGAGCAAGTGGCAGCGCCCAAATACTGCTGCCGTTTTGTACGTTAATTTGTTGACGCAGCTTGGAGGAGAATAACTTTATATACGGTAATGCAGGCTCATATTAAGGAAAATATTCTGTGTGGTATGTACTAGCACGCCTTTCTGATAATCCTGCATTTGAGGTATGTAAAAGTACGAGGTAATTCATAGTTTTCTTATGTGCAGAATTATATACTATATGAAGAGTTTTGCGATATTGAAAACACCATCAGCGAGCGCTGCGAACTTGACAACTCCGATTGGAACTTGCAGTGTTTGTTTCAGCTCGGCACCTTGGAGATCTTTTTCTAATTAGCCTCTTTCAGTTGCAGGACGAAGTTTCCATGGGAAAACAGAGACCCCAGCATCCGCAGACACATAAATTTTTCGGCACTGCTGTGCTCGCACACTCGCAATTGAAACCGTGAAGCGTAGTTAGCGTCGAATATTGTGCAAAATTACGTTTACCGTTACGAGAAACGATCGGCCCACGAGAACAACGCCATACAGCCACCGAAAACAGCTCGGCCATGATGCGTTCCACTAAAGTATCTGCCAACAAATAAATTAAAATATGTGCGATTTAAAGGTACGCAGCAGGCGTCTTCGGACGCCTACATAACTTTTAATGTGTACTTGTACTCTTTATGTCTAATCCCTTCCGGTTACGTCGTCAACTATTTCCGTGGCGCCACCGTTAACGTTTTATCGACGCATTCCCGGCTGAAATGCCGGTAATTTGTCAAATTAAGCACCATAAGACGGGCACGGGAATGCAATAGGATCAGCACACAGCAAAGGTCTGGAAAAATAGCGCCAGTTACTTTCGATTTAAGAACTCGATGGCACTTGGCATTGTTTGCTGCAAACATGAAGTACGGAATGCAGTCGCAAAGGCGATGTCTGAGTGCACGTTCGTAAAGCCGCAAATAAGAAATGTGTAAATAAAGCATCTGGAGCGGCAGTTATATAAAAAGCTGTTCCAACTGCCATTTGATCGGTATCTGCCCATTCCTTGTGTCATATTGTATGTAATTTGGCAATATAGAATATCTATCAACAATGAATCTAGCTACAGTGACCTTTGTCTGCAGCCTTGTGTGCTGCAGCATTAACTGCCAGGATCCATGGGGAGGCAGCGGCGTCTTTCCCGGATTTCCGGGAAATGGAGCGGGTTTTCCCAGTAGCGGAGGATGTAATGGGTTTGCCGGGCTGCTATCCACCCTGCTAGGCGGAAGCCGCTGTTGCAGTGGCGGGTGCGGAGGCGGCTCGCAGGTTGTTTATTATCCTATCCCATTCCCGCCGGGACCCGATCCCCCCACTCCGGCACCCGTGACCACGACTACCGCGCCTGTCCCTAGTTGCACCGGTGGGCAGTTACTTAATACACAAGTAACAAACACTTCGAAACTAACATTAAAGATATCACTGCTTATAATATTTTTGCAAGGGAATTGAAATTTATTGAGCATCTTTCGTTTCGTTATTGTTCTGCAGTGAGTATTAGCCCAGGTCCGTTCAGCCCCTGGATGTGCGACCAAACCATTAACCCAGCCATGATAACAGTAAGAAATTAAGAGTATCTTTCATAAAAGATCACGCAGCTGGGTTTTTTTATCATGCCGCTTTGTATTGTTCAGGGCTGTCCGGCTTCCCGCGTGACCTTTCAGGTCTCGGGAATACCGTGTGCTTATACTGAAAGCGGTGGCGCGATACGTTTCAGTCCCCTTAGCGGCGGCTGCGCTGTGGGATCCGGATTTGTCTATGTTGGTACCCTGACAGCAACGGACATCGTCACTAATGTGATTTTATCTGTCGGTCAAATCCAGGTTAGGCTTATACAAAATATTAAGGAACAAATTCTATGCGTCCATTTACAAGGGATCCCTTAAATTCCAATGAATCCCGGGCCATATATTCTCCTTTGCGAAAATATACAGCACTGCTGCGTAATAGTAATAATAATAATAATTATTATTCAGATAAACACCGCATCGTTGAGCTATTGCACTGCAACAACCGCTGCGATGACAACCTCGACCGCAGCGACATCTACCGAAATACCGCCTGATTGCAAAGGTATGCAGGGCAGTAACACTTGGATTACACTGTTGTCTAGATGCATACGCACATACAGCAGGAGTATTTATATACTGTAACGTAAGACATTTTTATTTATAGCAACTTCTACTGTTTATATAATAAGCACGCACGCATTCACAATTTCATACGGGTACTCGTACTCTATCAATGAGATCACTGTTTTATATGATAAATGTTGCAGTCTCTTACAACCTTTCAACTTCGCCAACTAGCGGCGCCTCAGATTTCTTTCTGACCGACTGTCAGCAACAGTTTACTACTCCCACTTATATGGTAAGCAGTTTTTTTGCTTATGCACTGGCATCTACCGTAAATGTGCAGTTATATAATTCCATAGTTAATAAAAATCAATAAGTGGAAAAACGAGCAGAATTATATTGCTACAGCAGTGTGCGCATTTCCAGTTTGCCAAAAATAAAACCATACAGTTAAAAAACGAAAAGCAATCCCGCTATCCGAAAAAGTAACGTGAGCTGCATTAATGCTATCAGTTCAATAGCAGCCAGTTAAAATATAGAAATTTTCGCTTCTGGGACATCTTCTAAACTCACCCAGTTTTTCAAAGCAATTCATAAAAAATGTCAGCTTTAGGTTAATCTTGGGTTGACTTAATTTTTTTTGCTAAGAAGATTGCTCTTTCGAATGAAACTAAGTTGACGTCAATCAAGTGGTGGTCGGATCCCGCGCACCATGGTAAATCAGACTGCCATTTTGTTCAGCCATCCGGTACTTTTTAGTGCACTTTCTAGAAACGAAATCAAGTCGGGTCGGGGCACGAAAAATTCTGAGTTATCCGGAACATTTTCAATTGCAAGGTAGTAACATTTCCGAGCCAGAGTACAGTAGTCTGGCCCGGAAATGTCACTGGACCATATCGCCGGCAGTACTCTGAGTACTGCAGGCCAGATATGGCCCAGAAGCGTGGGAAGATCATGCCCAGATTGGTGATAGAATAGTCTGGCCAGAAAAACCCTAATTCTGGTCCACGATTAACTTCGTATTCCGTTAAGGTAAAAAATGTAGCCGTTTTCCGGCGCCAAAAACGCCGGAGTATTTCGGCGTTTGAAATGTTCGTCCGCATGGGCGATGCCTCCAAAAATTTTCGAGCTTCTATGGACATGATAACGACTGTGCAACGGCTCCTCTAATCCCAGATTATGGACCAGTTCTTTACAGGAATGGGTGTCATGCCATCTGGTTCTATAGTGTTGTCGTGTACCGAACCGTGGCATGAGAGCGCTCCACAGTCATACTCGCGATACTGATCAATACAGTGTATTTCCTCGCATGAGTGTGGTGTAAGTGACCGGAGACAAAAACTTTAATATGAAAATGTTTACGGAAAGTAAACGAAGCATGAGAAAAATCAAAGTATACTTTTATATATACCGAAAACGAAACCGTATTCGTTAGTGTGGTTAAATATATACGTATTTCCTTATGACTTTGCCATTTTCTTGATTTATTACGATAGACCATGGAGACCGCTTCCTTTGGCTGGCTAGGCAAATGCGCTACCCTCATGTGCCAACAAAGCCACTTTCAGTTAAAATCCCATCAGCAACTAGGTCCCTACTTTAATCTACCTACCGTTAGTAATTCAACTTAGTATCGGCAGAATTTTGCTGTTGGGCCTAACAGCCAGGCATACCTTTCTGCAGAATTAGAAGATGCGGACTAGAAGACGAATTTGCTGCGCTCCGGTCGCTTCTCTATGCGGCGAGACTTGTGTTACCCGGTCTAATAATAATTACAGAACTGCCCCTTTTCGCGATATACCTACACACTGGTTAACTTCCCATGTGCGGACCTGCACTCCGACGGCGCGCTAGTAGTGGACGTTAACAATCCGGGGTGTATCGTCTACCCTTATTCATACTACGGATCCATGACCATCAAAGACAGCGACAGCGGTGAACAGCTGGGGGTCTATTATATAGCGGTATGTAGATTTAGAAATTATCCGGTCTGTAAAACCGACTGGGCTTGCCTCACAATGGTGAACAAACGCACGGTTTCTGCGAACGCGTAGGATGTTATTAACCATGATCTAATAACTATCAAATAAGAAACAAAGATATAAAACTAACTTCTCTTACTTTATAAGTTACAACATGCGTTTATTGTATGAGTATTTATTACGTTGTATTTCAGATGCACATGTTTGGCCTGGCATACTGCGTGACGCCATGATTCAGCAGAATTATCGCAAGGTATCGAAGAGGAAGTGACCTGCACTGTTATTTTCTTCTGATACCCAAAATTTTTATGACTGTGGCCTAGGGGAACTAAAATTTCTCGGTTACACTATCATACTGCATTTCGTGCGACGTAACGACTGCTGCGTAATACATAGAAACTGCATAGAAACCTATGCAAATTTTTTTAGAAGGTTGATAACAGAATTTTAATTGAACCGAGCATAAGAGTATGGTCCATGCAAATGATAGCACTACAACGCATGCGCAAAGAATTAATAAAATCCAACATTTCTAATATTGTTTGTTCAAAATTATGGTCCCTTCTACAGAATCCGATTTCGGTACTCGTATTCACGCTTTAAGAAATTCAGCTAAGCCGAAAACAACGGATTTCGTTGCTATAAATGTGTATTATTTGTATGTACTAATTTACTTTGCAAGGCACACTGCAAGCCAAACTTACAGTTGTAGAAAAAGAGGATTTTTCATACTTTAAGGATCCGACTGCTCGTTATAATGGCAATTGGCAACTATTTAGGAGACACGGAAGCAAGCAGTCACGTCTTACAAACCTTCATATTTATTAAATGGTGCGGTACTGACCATTAGTTGTGCGGTAATCCTACTGATACGCTAAAAACGGCAGAGCCATAGATTTTGCAGTATACGAAAACGTCGCCAGGCCGGAAGTTTCTCGGAAGTTTGTTAACGGGCACGGTAACAAACTTCCAAACAAAAGTAAACTATAAAAACTTCTGAAAATACAGGCACGGTTCCGTCAGTTTCGTATGTTATACCGGAAAAGATTTAATAAAGAAGTGTATGTAACTAGAGGTTTTACTGTAGTTCTAAAAGAGCCAGAATTTAAAAAACTGTGCCAAGAGGTTTATGTTCTAGAAGTTATGCTTATAAATGAGTGAATGCTCTATAGAGAACTGTCCCTGAGTTATAATTCGCCGGACAGTTCGGTTATTAGCCGCATGTGTACTGTATAGGCAAGCCGTGAATGTCGTAATACCAGAGTGCGATAAGTTTAGAGAATTTCGTCGTTCAGGCTATTTACAAAGACAACGTTGGAAGATGGAGAAGAACGACGTTAGCGGGCCAGCTCTTTGCCAAGAGCCAGATTACGCACACTATGTGCTGACTGATAGTGTCCCTGCAACGCCCAGTTTAAGAAGTTTACCAGATCAGCCTTGTAGTACGAAGCGGCGGAGTCTTATGAACGTCATTCTTCTGGGGTTTGGTTTTATGCTTAATATGGGATCCATACTGACCGCTGGAATGGCGCAGGTAAAGGCTAATTCTGTGCAAGTGCTCGCAGAACGGCAGATGCTTCGGTATTAAAGAAGCGAATACTTCAGTGAAGCTAAAACCTTAGTCTAACAGTTTACCCGTTTATTGTTTATACAGTACATCGGCAACCTCTGAAATAAGCTTAGGTGTGTAATGTAAACGAACTTCCCAGACCCTCTTTTTATTGATAGTCTCTGTTATTTAAAGGTTGTCTTGATCTTGGGTTTACTAATCCAACTTTCGCTTTTTCCAGACCGTGGTGTTGCACAGTGTGTTTGACGATGCAACCTTGGGATACCTTTGTTTGGCTGTAAATTGCGGTGGGTTGTCCAGCATTTTGGTCGTCATCTTGTTCCTTTCCTTGGTCTTGATGATAGCTAAAATGCCCATGGAAGATTTTCCTAAAATAAGGTTTTCCTTGTTTACAGGGTCTCAGGCCATCGCCTATTTGGTTGGTCCCTCTGTTGTAAGTGACCCCAGATCGCAAAATATGCAATAAACCTCCGCTTATCTTATCTTGTACAGTATTACGACCTTGTGCGAATGACAGATTGACTTTTGCAGTGCTTTTCATGGGACCAAAATTTGCTTTGGTGCTGGGATCCAGTATGTGCGAGCTATTCTTAATTAACGTGTGCGAGTAATTAACGCATTACATATACTTACAGATAGATTCTGGAGCGCTACTGCAGTGTGCACAGATAGTTATTACAAAACCATTCAAATTTTAGCAATTTGGATAAAATATATGAGAAAGTTTTTCATATTGTAGTTGCCGTCATCGCCAACATTGCCGGTTTAATAAAACCGGTGTACTGGGTGATTTTTGTGTGTGCTGCCATTTCTGGTTTCGGCGTTGGTATCGTCTGGGCCGTTCAAGGATACTTCTTAACAAGCCATTCTACGCCAAATTAAACACGATAGAAAGGTTGGGTAACTGTTGATGATAGATTGTTCTGTTTTCTGATTTACGCCAATTTTTTTGCAGGAATACTGGGATATTTTGGGGATTTCCCAGATGTGGTACAGTACATCACGGCTGCTTGTGGAAGCTTGAAACCGTTTATGGGAGTTTTATAGTTTACCAGCCGGAAGTACGTTTTGCGATCTCATGCTGCGAGGTGCGACAACAATCGAGGATCACACTCGGATAGCCGTCTTTGGTACACTGACGGTGACTGCGACAATAGGAACGCTGGTGTTCATCCTGATAAAACATCCATGGAATGCCAAGCAGTACAGACACACGCAAAGTAAGCCTTCAAAGTTAAACTGCTGCTACGCCTTTTCAGCTCTTTTCGGTTTTGCCTCAATTGTCTCTTGCGATGGCAGTCGAAACTGCTCATATTGATAGTGTCAAAGCACATTTTTTCTTATGACAAATACCCGTCTGAACCGGGAAACAAATGTCTTCAATGTTTTGTTGAACAGGATGGGAGCGAAAACTCGTACTTTGGGTATGGGCCTGTCAGTTCACTGGATATGTCAGAAGATGGTTTTCGTCAGCGAGCTCTTGAATTATTTGCAGAATTTGCAGCTGCGACTCGTTTAGGTTGTAAAAGGGATGCAGTGCTCATATTTCTTCTACATTGGTAAGTGATTTTTCTCGAAATGGGTCGTACAGTTTGTCACGCTTCGAAATCTTGATAGGTTTTACGTCGACTTTTTGGTCCAGTGTCAACGGCACACCGCGCTCTCGGGAACGTACGAGCTTCTCGTTGGATGGAGTGTTCCAGGATTCCAGAAAAACAGGTGTGGCTTGCGCTGCGAACATTGTAAGAAAAAATAGTGTCAGTAAAGGTCGTTGTTGCAGGTGGTGTGTTCCTGGGAATATTCGGTGCCTGGTCCCATAGGATGGGACGAGATGTGTTTCTTGTTGCTGGATTCGTTGTGCATTTGACAGCGTTCTATTTGATTTTCTTAAATATGCCTCCGTTGTCGCCCCTGCAGATGACCAGCGACTTATCTTATATTGGGCCAAAGTAAGTCAAATTTAACAACGTTCTTGACGTTTAAGTTGCAACCGAGATGATGCCTACCCTTGTGAAGTTTCATTTGCTTTTCTTATGTCTTTTTTATGTTCTTAGGTATTTCTTTCTTATTTCATTAAACAGCACCGTATTTTTCATCTATTGCAGTCCGTACGTCGCCATGCTTTGCACAGCTTTAATAGGATTTGGTGAGACATAAGACGCCATATTACTAGTTGAAACTGTTGTATACATGCAGTTTTCTTTGTAGGCGATGCAATTTGGAACAATCAGGTGATTAATAATTGTTCAAGGCTGAATCGATTTACCGATTTCCATACGATGCAATGGATGTCGAGATAGAAAATTAAAACTAGTGACCCGATACATGGTACCAGATTTGAGTATCAGGGAAATCGAGCGCACTTCAGAATACTCTTCGAGTTGCTTATTGCACTATGTATCCAGTTTATTAGACTTTTTGGAATCTCAGTTGAGTCCTCACATTACTTCGATAAATTTCGTCCAAAAACAGCTTGTGCTACTGTGGACAAATCACATAGCCACATTTGCCATACAGCAATGCGAAAAAGTGTTTACGAGTACGCGAAATTTAAACAAAAGTTCCCGTACATGTATTCGGTGCCCTGTACCGCGTCACTTCCCTTAATTATCTAGCAAATTGTTTCCATATAGCTTGCAAAACGTATGTCAGATGTAATACCGGTTTTGCTCTGTACTTCGTAGTTAATGGCGTATTTGGGAAGCGCTTAATTTATCCTTTTCAAACGGTTGCTGCTTTCGGAGTCTATCAATTTATGACGGTATGTTATTATGAACACCAAAGTTTTTCTGTAATTTGCAGCCACATATCTGCAGTTTAGTAAATTGTTTTTTGGATTGTAGGCTATTGGCAATGTTATCGCAGCCGGATACTCTACCGTATTAGCTTTGCCTTTTCAACTTTTGATTATGGTGGTGACCGGCATTCCGGCCTTGGCGGGATACTGTTGGTTAGAATGGAAAACATTTCTGAAAAAGGGATTCTCCAGTAGTGGAGGACAAAAAGGAGTGGAAATGAGCCACTCGCTCCATCGTTCAAAGACTGGATAATTGAATCAACAAACCACGTGCAACAGGAACGCCTCTGTAATTACACACTTCTAGTGCAATAAACCGGAAACGATGTGGTGGAAAGGCCTTAAATCAGTGCAATTAAATCAGTTATGCCTTAAATCAGTGCACTTCTTTTTCTTCGTACTACGAGTACGTGCATTGTAGGAATTTATCGGCCCAGAAAAAGCCTAATTTTGAAATAAAATCTCTTTGCTCAGAACAGTGTAGATTTCATTGAGTACAAGTACTATGATTAATAAAAGCGATCGTTTCGCGAGTTCTTAAATCCTCGCAATATTCTTTTAAATAAAGGTAGTAAGCAATTATCTGTTAACCGTATTGCCGTTTTGGAAAGCAGTTGCTGTTTGTGGCGCTTTTGTCAAAATTACATCCGATTGAAAATCAGCCACTGGTATAGTTAGTTTTTCGTTATTATACGAACCAGCTGCAAAGTGCGCTGTATTAACAGCTTCTGGTATATATCTGTACGATCGTTTACGGGTAAAATTGTTCCAATAATTGCCGTATTTGAAACGGCTATCATACTTCCATGCACTGCGAACAAAATTAATGTTGTGTTCTTGTGGGAAAAATACCGTGCGTAAAAGGAACAAAGTACACATATGCATAACTGAAGATGCGGTAACTCTAATTAGTCCTCAACCAGTGCGAGTCAAATAGTTCTGTACTTGTTACATAGTTAACTGTTCCGAACGGCTAGCCATACGCGCAAATGACCGTCCAATAGACAAGCAGCATGCTTGACAGGTGCAAAAGCGTGGTTTCGAAGGACAAAAAACCCACAAGGAGTTACGAAAAGGAGAGTAGCAAAACGGAATTATATTCAGCAATGAGATCCATTAAAATGTACAATGTCCCGTTAGTTTCTACTGTGGTGTCTGTTTTTATTCCGGGTGCTCCAAAGTGGCCTCCACAGTGGTCTGCGAGCCAGATGGCGGGACTTCATCCAGAGGTGGCGGTTCTTCCACATTCTCCGAGTTAAGCCACCAGGTCACCATTGGACCAATTCCCTGTAAAGACAAACTAATAAATAGCCAAGAAAACCTATAAGTATGCCGGATTGGATGCATGCAAGTGATCTATCATACAGATACGGAATACAAACTGTATACTACTGCCCGTTCAGCAAGAGGGAATTTACCTTGACATCGAGTTCACCGCGCAACGTAACGTCGAAGGTGCCGAAACCATCCAGGATGACTTTATTGTCGTCGCTAATGTGGATTTTTAATGCTGTGCTCAACAACAACGCTCCCGTTAACATTTTTTATCACGTTTACGCTAATGCTTCACTGATTTGTAATATTATTATTATTATTATTACGGCACAAGAGCAGACAACCCCGAAGGGACTTCAAGTCTGGTCGAACAAAAACAATTTTCTGCTAACAAAATATTTAGGACAGATTGACAGATCTGAGTACAAATTTGAAAGAAGGTACAGAACTGGCTTCGATAATTTTAGGATTGACAGCAAGAATTTTTAGTTTCGCTGATTTGTGATAGTTTATGTGTACCTTCACCCATGCTTTCCATTTTGTTGGCAATCGTCACCGTTACTCCAAATCTAAAGAAACAACACGTATGTGATCTTCCGCACGCAATAGAATAGAGTCGACGAGCAATTAGTAATAATATTATTCAACGTTTACAATATGCAAGTCTCGCCTATTTGTCATTATCTATTTTCGTCCACTCTGTGCTCGGGATCGACGCCACGATGCAACTGCACTGTTTTACGATTAGATAATTTTGGTAATATGCTTACAAGCAGTAGCGTGGCATCTTCAGTCCCACTACCCCAGCGACAGCCGGTCCGGAGTGATTGCCAATACGCAGTCGCAGTTGCTCCGTGGGACGATGGCGGATTCTGAAGCGTTTGATCCCCTCCAACAGCATCAGGGAGGTGCGAGCGATCTCGCGAGCGTGCAGGTTACCGTTGCGGATGGGCAGTCCACTGACAACCTGTTAAATCAGACCGATGATCAGCGGAGCACACAAATTATATCACCGGTAGCGTAAATCCGTGCAGTTTACCATGTATGCATCCCCAATCGTTTCCACTTTATACACATCGAATCCATCCAGAATGCCGTCGAACAGTGCTGAAAAATTGAAAGCGTAATTTGTATTAATGAAGCCAGCTGGTGCGCTTTGGTTAAGTAGCGACTCAGGTTCATGCGCTGAAAGCGTTTACTTACTGTAAAGGTCATTCAGCAGATCGACCACTTGCAGCGGTGTGCTAGACGCCGACAGCGTGGTGAACCCGACAATATCGCTGAAATAAATGGAGCACTCATCGTAAGCTTCCGGTTCCACGGTTTCTCCTTGCTTCAAGCGGTTGGCCACCGATCTAGTTCAGAAAACGTTTTTGTTTTCCAGTACTGCCGTTAATAATATCACTTTCGGCGTTTTTACCATACCGTGGTAAGACCTCGAACAGGAGGTTCTCCGACTTCTGCTTTTCCTGGTAAACTTGCTCGGTACGCAGCATCACCAGACCCTCCAGATCCGTGGCATAGGCTTCCATACGCTTCATTAGATTGTCCATAAGATTGCCTTGTTCCGCCCCAGGAATTTTCTTCAGCTGGCCTTTGATGTCTTTCAAAGTGGGACGCGCTTCCGGTGCCTCGCTCCATGAGTGCTCCATGATGCTGCGCAGTTCCGGGGGACAAGCGTCACCCGAAACATGTGGACGCAGCGGCGGGTCGGTGCCTTTCGCCACTTGTGCCACAATGGCTACAATACACATACTATCACTGCTTTAGATTTTATTTAGGTGTATAATACAACCCGTGCGGAGTACGTAGATTAATATAAACCTGGGAGCGCTGGGACATTAGTAGAAACATGAAAGTTTACTGGTAACTTGTGGTAAGGAAGAAATATACTGCCGTATAACCGTACTTTCAACGGTATTTTATTATCGTGATTCGAGCCCATTTTTGAAACTTAAAAGCGTACCGTATGGTTCCATAGGTAAGCGAGCGGGATCCGGCGAACCGTATGGATGGCATCGTAGCACTATTTCTTGCAGGATGATCGCAAAACTGTAAACATCGCCTGTAAAACAAAAAGGAAACATCATATATTCAGCGCATACACCACCTACAGATACGGTTTAATAAGAATTTTCGTCCAATTGACCTTCTGGAGTTCCTTGCGGCGGCATCTGCGCTCGCAAGTGCTCCGGAGCACGCCATAACAGCCGTCCTTCATCCGTTTTCGCCAGCTCCACATTCTTATTCAGGAACGGTTGCAGGAAACCCAACCCGTAATCCGTAATCTTTAGTACGAACCGGTTGTCGATCACACAGTTGGAGCTGGTCAAGTTGCCGTGTGATTTAATGGGTGAATCATGGAGGTATGCCAGGCCCTAGAGTACCCAACATACAGCACAATATCTACCGAAGTGTACAGTAAGTAAGAATTAAATTATTAGGAAACAACTTTTTACCGATACAATGTCACCGATCAGGGAATACCGGAACGACCAATCCAGCTTGATTGCCTCATTCTCCAGGACATCGGCCAAACTACCTTTCTGGCAGTATTCGAACAGCACCTGCACCTGGGCGTCTTCGACGGCGATACCCACCAACGGGTTCATGTTGTCATTGTTGATGTCATGTAACTGCAATCAAAAGCCATAAAATATCATTTAGCATTGAGTATCTGTAAAGTGTCTGGCATTACCTTTTTGATTTCTTTCAGTTCTTTGCGCGTTGCATGGAAGCGTCGCGATGTCTGCAGTTTCTTGACACACACCACTTTGTTCTTGTACTGTGCGGTTTTGGCAAACACTTGCGAATGCCCACCAGCGGAACTTGCCCCGTCTGCGACGCTCTGCGGAGTAACAGAAAAACCAGTGAAACGGAATCGATCGATTTGTGGGTGACCTTTGTAAACAGAGAAAATCGTTCACATGGCGCTTACCATATTGCCTAGGCTTAATCGGCTGATAGACACGGAAAGACCATGTCGGTCTGATTTGGCGCTGATTTCCTCGGGAGGCACTCTCCACCATGGATCATTAATGGCTGCTTCCAGTTTACGCTTTCTAAAATATACAACAACATCGCACAACAAGTTTATTTCGTAAAAAAAGTAGTCAAGTTCTCACCGGTAAACGAGTAACGCAATAACCGAGACAATCCCCACGAAAATTACTGCGGAGACGACGGACGCGGCCAAGATAATGTTTTGCTCTGATGCGATTAACAATGTCATGAAGAAGTCACGGTATGCGAAGAAAGAATCCTACAAGTACCCCGAATGCAGACTGCATCGTTGTCGAGGTATCCACAGCGCGGTCGGTTAGGTGGCGGCGAATCGCGGTTGTACCACTTGATTTCGCGTTCTTTTCCCTCACTGGTCAGCACCGGGTGGATGCGCCGAGTGTCTGCACGGTACTCCAGCACCGGCTGCAGCACAATATACAGACAAAATTACTGGTTGGCGTACTGTTTCACTGTTTGGAAGCATTTGCTCATATAATACTAAGAAGCATTCTCTGGAATTCTCTTTAAGCGGAAGATGAAGTTACATCGGGAACCTTGTTGTGACCGCCTGCTCTGACAATCTTGTCAAGAGCGTACAATGACTGCAGATTTAATGGAGAGTGATTATGCTTCCTCTGAATCTAGTTTTTAGTTCGTTCCTTCTAACGTACAGAATGGCCTAGCGTCTAATAAGCGTAGTCTGTGATCCGTTTTCTCAGTTCTGTTAACTGCAGTTACAGCTGCACTGGTGACCTGTGACCTTTGTGAATCTGCGCAATTGGCACCTTAGTCGAATCGCAAAATAAGCAAATCGAGTGAAGATGCTTAAGTGTCTACAGCCTCTAGAGCGTTACTGGACAATCGGCTTAACACAATGTGACCAACCTGAAATTGACCGCTGTTGTAATCCATCTGCGCGATCGAGTAGTCCGATTCTCGGTCACCGTTGGCATTCATCACGATGCGTTTCCCCTCCAGATTAAAGGTTCTGTTCCACATTTTATGAGATATCTCTTCGCCGGCCGATAAGTTGCCACCGCCGGCGTATGTTTCATTCAACACCTGCACACTTCTTCATTTAAAACTTGTTCAACATGATCAAGCATAAATGCAGATGCATACTTGTCCGTAGATCAGAAGTGCTTCGTAGAATCCCAGCGCAAAAGGGTTAGCCTAAACGCAAAAACATCATGCAAAGCAGTAGCCTTAACAAAAAAACAGGTGTTTAACCGCCACTAACGATTTCCCGCTGGTTTGGCCGCGAGCCGTTCACTGTGTAACGCTCGCTGTTGGAGACATTGAGGAGAAGCTGCTGGGTAGTTTTCTCGCTGGCATCTTCACGTAAGGACATGATGAACATGGACTTGTAGGCTTCTTTGGCCTCCTGTTTCCCATTTAAATGTCAATTAACGTAGAAATACGAGCAGATCTTTACAAATTACCTTCAAATATCTACGTCCATATTTTATCAATAATTTCCTATCTTTTTATTTTTGTTGTTAATTAATTTCTGCATCGCATTGTCATTTTTATTTATTTATTTTTGTTACTCTTGCCTGCTCTACATCACGTGGATTACCTCGTCTCTTCCATCTATGTTGCCGGTATTCCATGAGCTATTCCCGAAGAACGTGGGGCTACGGTACACTTCGAGGGCAAAATAAACCTGCAAATCAAAGCATGGAACGATACAGCCCGTACAACGAATGCGTGGTCTCTAGCAAAGTCTTACATATTCGCCATTTGTCATGTTCTTTTCGGATGCCATTAACTGTAAAAAAAGCAACAGTGCTTGTAGCTAAAATTTTTGTAAATTGTAGATCTTGTACAGCTCCAACAAAATCTAAAGTTTTTCCGAGAATGCTTGGTGTTCATATAAACTATCAACGCACCATAATTTGCCGGAAACGTCTACTTTCAGCAACAATGAAAATCACTGCAAGCAAAAACACACGAGCCGTTTGTAATCAAGTCAAATTCCCGGTAGAGCGCATGTATAAATACCTCTCGTTACCAAACGAAGCTGTCCCAGGTAATCGGACAGATTCCTCCTGTCGTCTGAGTTAACCAAGTAATGCGACGCGTTTATGTTGTTCTTGGGCAGTGTTGTCTTATCTTTTAGATCATAGCACAGTGGCAGAAACAGAGAAAGGTTGTCATTGGACGCGTCACACAGTACGCCGATGGAATTATACTGATACTTCCCCAGTAGTTTCAGGAGAAAGCTGGCGAAATTCTCCGGTGTATAGGGCGACAAACGCGTCAGGGTCGGGTACCGGGTTTTATTGAAAGCCAGCGCACTGCCCGGGACCCTGCAGTTAAGCGTACATACGCGTAACGTTAATTGAGGTTATTTTCGTATTTAACTCTACCCAAAAACATCAGTTACCCAAAGATCAGAGGCTTGTCCCAAGCTGCAAAAGATTGCCAAGTTATTTTCCAGATAGTTGTAGCACATTTTCAACTAAGGATTACAAAATGCGCTGACCTTTGGCTAAGCTAGCTACGGAATTTCCTGAAATGCTGCAGCCTATAAACAGATGAATTCAATCCCTATGAATTTAGTATCTCTTGTTGCAGTTTATGAAATAAATATGAAATCTGGTACGTTAAAGCCAACAAAATTAAAACTTGTTTGTTTTTTAAAGGTCATGTCATGATTGCATATAAGTAACGTTAATTAGATCTGTCTGGTTAGTTAGGCAGGTCAGTTTCTTGTTACTTTGAACAGTAAGGGTCTACCACTTATATAATATTATGGTGACGGCTAAATTTCGATTCACTAAAACCATGCAGACCAAAAGGCCCCAAGAAAAGACTTCGCAAGCAAAAACGAACGCCACTTACCGGGTCCGAAGATGGCCATAACGGAATCGTTAGACGAGCGTTCCCGGTAATAAAACTTGGTTGTCCAGAACGTGGCTTTAGTGTCCAGACCCATAACCCCTTTTTTCTCGTCCAGAACACACACAGAGATATTCTTATCATATTTATGCACGTGCATGAACTTCAGATTCTCTCCATAGCGGGCATTTAACTGCTGTTCAGCGAGACTGAACGCGGGAGCTACGTTCAGGTACGACGTGGCGGTACGGTTGCCACCCAAACCGATTTCAAATAAGATAACGTTCACCGGTGAGCCACAGACGACAGCAGCAATAAAGGTCACAACAGCGATTGCTGTATACGGCATTTCTGCAAGAGGCACTAAAAGGTCACGCTGGGCATTACGAGAACGCCGCATACTTGGTCAAGAAATACTAATATTAACTGTAAATGATGGCAGCGACATGTAACACTTGAATAACGCGTGGTAAGCAGTCAAATCGATTTTGTTGCGCATCCAATTTGGTTACACCGATGCCGATGGAATTGTACTGATATTTCAGTGATGACATAAATCTTGATTTGGTTACATAAATCGTACAGCACACAGACAAGTGACTGGCTAAAAGAGAGATCACTCTGTCCGGCCCTGCATCGCGATCCCGCTTGGCCATTGGCTGCAGCAATTAAGGAAATCAGTAAATGAGACGCAAGAGAGTTGTTTTGGGTAACTGACTACTGTACACTGGCGTTGTCCCTACTAGGATTTCTATGTGTGTTGTTCTGAACTACATCATTACGATTATATTCTGAACGCATAAGAAAGGAGGCGTTTAACGATAACTCGCCGCGCTGTCTGCTCAAAGCTCTGACACAGGAAGGTGTCCTTTTCCATCAACAATTGCACTGGTTTCGCATTTCCATTCAGGTGTCGCGCTTTCGGAACTACTGGAACAAATGGGGCATGTCCATTTATGTAATGCCACGCAGCAGAATAACAGGTCACAGGAGCGCTCAGCGATTGTCAATGGTAATTGGTATAAAGTTACCTTGGCCCGTCGTAGCGCTACTGCTAAATAAGACACCTTTGTGTATCAACTACCGTTAGCGATGGTGCCTGATGAGTCGCTGAGTACTCAGAAATAACAGGGCATGAGACACATCGTTTAAATAACTGCTTCCGGAAACAGGGAAGTTACTGATCACGAGAAATATAAGGGCCGTCAATCGGCTGGTAGATTACTGCATACATTACGTATCTGTACTTCATGCAAAAAGATTTACATATCGGCAATTTTAGATTTATTGCAGAACATTAAAACGCGAAAAATTCACTGCCAAATAAGTCATACCCCTTTTTATGTAGGTAACTGCAAATCTTCCTTTTCATAATAGCTCAAATCTTGGGAAAATTAAAATTTTTGATAGAATCTAGGAACTTTCGAAATCACATTACACACGCACTTTTCATAACGATGGGGCCATACGTACCCAAAAAGAAGGAGATGTTCTGTCGCTTATGCAGCGAAAGATCTATGTACAGACTGGAGAATTTTGTGAGACTGCTGTCACTTTACTTTTAGATGGCAATATGAAATTGGTAAAAGTAATCCAGTTAACCAAGTCTGCTGCGTATATCGGAAGCTCCGGCAGTCGTAGAGCAGTACCAGTCATGCTCAGTGCTGCAGCTGGTGGATATTACTTCGAACGTATGTACTGTACTGTATATCTCGTTAAAATTAGTCTTTATAATAGAATTTCGTGCCGGACTAAGTATGTGCATGCTTGGTGTTCACTCATGATTCCCAAATGCCTAATCCAACACATTTTATGCGCTAATTCGCATTACGAACGCGAAACCTTTCGACTAGCTAAGTTTAACTGTTAAAATTATGATTAATGTTACTGTCAATTGCTTGCGCTCTTGTGGAAACTGGTATGCGACAACAGAACACAACAGAATGGAAGATCATTCCGACTTTTGACATTTGACCACTGCTGTACAACAAATTTATTGTGAACCAAATTTGTTATAATAATTATGGAATTTGTTCATAATCTGCATAATGGGAAGGAGGATTATAACTCCTACGAGTAGTTAATAACTTATCGGGAAAATGAGTCACAAAATACTTGCTATTGTCCTGGTAGTACTCAAGTCATTGTACGGCAACAGAAACCGAATGGCGAAACCGCGTTTTTTTACGCTTTCCAACATTCCCATTTCAACAGCGAGCAGCACAGAGCTGCTGGCTCACATTATTGACCAACAGAAATCGGGCTCTTGACCCGGCACAGGCAAAAAAGGAACCTAGCGACAGAAAATACGGGCGCTTGACCCAGCAGAAGAAACCTGGCGCGAAAACGCCAAAATAAATGTGCCCAAAACAGCCATAAATACATACAAAGAAAAATACTGGGCAGGAAAAATCAGCAGGAAAATCTGCCTAAATGGCCGCGGCCGCTGGCACGGCGATGCGGAAATGGTCGTACAACCCCATCAACAGAGCATGCTGTCTGGCTAGGTCAGCTTTCACTTCACGCTTGAAACCCGCCATCTTCGCTGCCATGGCGCTGATGTCCTTCGCTGTCTTCGCCAACCAGACGCCATGGCGCTGCACCACGAGCGTCAGTTTGGCCACGGCGACGCGAACCTCCTCCACTTCAGCCGACAGTTTTGCCGTCTTCTTCCCGATCAACTGCGCCGCAATTGATCGGGAAGAAGACGACAAAAACTGTCAGGGTGTTGGGTGACAACGACAAAACGACAGGGTGTGGGTGTTGACGTTGATGAAATCCAGCGCGGCCATCAGGAAACGATACTGTCCGTTGGCGTTCGGCTTGGAAAGAGACCAGGAGGCCATGGTCTCGGTCAGCGTGGCCATGGTCTCGATCAGCCTCTCGAGAAGCCTGTCCAGAAACTCCCCAGGAACTGAAGGGCCTGCTTCTCTTTAGCCTTCAGTTCCTGAGTAGTTTCCGGCCAGGCTTCTCCCTCGTCGAGGTAGTGTTTCTAACGAACATAATGAATGCTGGTTAGATAAGCAAATGCAAGGTTTCTACGTACGGAGCACCAATACGCATGTACCATGCTGGGCTTCGTCATGATCCCCGCTCGGGCCAGGAGGTGACGGCATCCGGTCTTGATTAGCTGCAATGCAATACGTTGCGCAATTAGTCACCATGGTAATAAAGCCCGCAAGTGGAATGTCGAATCAAAGAGTTTAAGTACAGCATACCAATAAGACACTGGTGTTATTATGATGATTCCAAAATTAATGGTACATTTTTTGATTTTATTAATCGTAAGTACTTAATTAGATCGGTACGAGTGTAAGTATCGCATCGACTAAAAAAACTAGTACAACATCGTATGAATCTCGTACGGTACAGCAATCGTTATTTCTCATTTTCTTTCCAAATTTTCAATCTGCTTTTGTTTTGTGCAGTCGTTGCTGATTATTCTTATTCGTAGTACCTGCTGTTAAAAATTCTGACTAGCTACCATGTACCTGTAAAATACTCAGTGCGAGCTCGTCATTATCTGTATTGCTTCTTTCGCATGCATGATGGAATACATATAGTTTACTGGGCAATAGCCGCCATAACAACAAAAGTGCAAGCGCGGGCACACTACTTTACAGTTAAAATTTAAACATTAAAAAAGCAACCAAAATCTCTATCCGCCCGCGGGTTAAAAGGCAACGTACTTAACACAGCAGTAGCATTTCTCTTAATGACAGCCAAAATAAAACGTTGCTTCATAAAATACTAGTAATTACCGGCCGCGTTCGCACGCCATATTATTAAACTCACAGTTTCTCAATAGTTTCCAACACGCTGCATATTAACTCGCGCTTGCCGCGCCCAGCGGCTGACATTAAAATGAAGATTACCGCATAAGAATTAAAACTGATACTTGCATCCAGCGCCCTAGTAATTCCGCCAAGGAAAGTCACCACGGCCGCGAAGGTAACTGCCGCATTCACGATGGGTTCTTGGTTTAATGCGCTGTAGTGTGCCTCGAGCTTCCAAATCGTCCCGTTGATGGTTCCAGCGGCCATTACGCGAACGATAACTAGGCACAGGACGGCGAAGGCGCAGACCACGAACGCACAGAATGGCAGCGCCATCTTATCTACGAACAAAACCCCAATACGTCACAAACGTGGGGCGATGTACAGATTACAATTTGCAACGCAAAAAACTCAGTGCCTAATTACCTGCAGACTAACGTATTCAGTCAAAAAAGCATGCTTAGTTAAGAATTCGAAAATTTTAAAGGAATCGAAACGTACATGTTCTACTAATACAACAGGAAACAGGATTAGAATGTTAATTAAGCAAATTTAATGATGAATTTTATTTAAGCACTCAAATTCCATGGCTTGCGAAAAGCGCATCGTAAACGCATGGTACAACGACGCGAATCCAGTAACGTTGGTTAATTTCGTATCGTTCTATTTTGAAAACTGCTACGTGCGCGTTTGCAGATCAGTAATTTTTAAATATAAATAATAGTGCGGACATGTACATGACGCTTATCTATACATGGTACATACAGATATCTATATTAATTTATGTGTGTACATGGCACATACTTACATGGTATGTTTCCACATTTACCTACTATTTATAGTACATGTACACGGTACATACTACTACATACGGTAACTTTCTACGCGGGATCGACTGCTGCTGCCTTCCTCTGATTATTTTGGAATAAAAAAACGGTTGATTTTTCCTTTCTAGCTACTCTTGATAAAATGTAAAGCTTAAAATAAACCCGAGAGGCATTTCGACAAAATTATGAGTACCATGTGTTGTACGCATATTCACTGTGAATACGAAGAAAGCGAAATCTATGCATAAAACTACCACAAAGCAACACAACTATGTCCAGTAATTCTAGCTAAATTAAAATTAAGCATTAATCAGGAAACTAAAGCGCTAACTGAGTGTATAAATTAACAAATAATACCCATGTTAAGCTGAACCTGACTGCATCGGTACATGTACCAACTAAGCAATACTACGTAATAATGATAATAAAGTAATACAGTACATTTACAATACCAGCGTTAAATTATAAAATTGCGTACTGTAACTCCCGGTGGCGTTGCCAACATTTGCGCAACGCCAACGCCACGCGCCCGTAGCGCGGCGCGCGCAAAGCAGCCCGCCGTTTTTCCCGACTTGCCAACCGTTGAAACTACGTCCCTGCCAGAAACGAGAAATTGCACGCTTCGCTTGCATCATTCTAACGCCGCCGAAGTTCGTCTGTTTTCCAGACAAAAAAACGAAAATTTTCAATTGAAAAAATCTCTTATTTTTATGCAGTAGTACGATTGATTGATTAATAAAACCTTCCTGCTACAGTAGATCTTCGAAGTAAATCAACGCATGTAAAGGCTGGTCTAATTGGGAGAAGAAAACGTGCCCTTAACGACTAATTAGCGTAATTACACGTTCTAAATAGCGCCGAGCAAGACA